GTGTAAGCCTAACATTGTACCTTACTGTCAGAGCACAGGCAGCCAGCTCTGTGTAGGCCTAACATTGTAACTTACTGTCAGAGCACAGGCAGCCAGCTCTATGTAAGCCTAACATTGTACCTTACATTTTGAATGTTTACAACATTCTGTTACAGAAGATATTCGAGATGGCATGTTCTCCAAGTTCTTTAAGAATCTTACCTCAATACACAATAGCCAATGATGAGCTAACAGTAGAAAAACATTCTCATGATTTGCAAAGCACAAACAAAAAAGTTAATGAGAAAAATAACTTTTATTTAACTAAATCTTAATCATTTGGTATGCCAGTATACTCATCCTTACAAATTTGCATTATGTACTCTTTTATGAGTCACCCAGTTATATGTGTTTTGCATTTTCCTGGTCTTTCGTGCAGGATATATGATTTCCAGATCTCTGGTCCTCTGAACATGACAAAAACATTCCACAGCTATAGTTACGGAATTGCCGAGATGGAAGTAAACTGGGAGGCCCAAGATCCAGATTTGCACAAATATGTTCCATTTTGTTTCACAGCAGAAACAAATATCAGGTATAAGAGAATTAACTTCTTTATTTGCTCATCATTTTGTAGAGTTCAAACTTAATGTAAGTTAATGTACCTAATTTTACTTTCCAGTCAGTCTGAGATGAGGTGCATTGTTGTGATTGTTATAAAATCAACTTTGCAGAAAGGTTAGTGGATGTTTTTTCTTTTTATGATAGTGTATCACTATATATATATATATTTTAATGGTAAAATAGTATAATTATGCAGCACAGTTATTGACATTGCCTTTTAGGAGAAGCAGAAGTGTCTTGCTTACAGAACACCATAAGCATTACTTTGAAAAAGTCCGCAATGAAGGATCTGGAAATTACTAATTTGCGTCTGAAGGACTCCTCCTGCTCACTCACTTCAAATGAATCCTACATTATGGCAACAGTGTCTATGAATTCCTGCGGCACAGAACTTGAGGTAAGTTGGATCATCCATAAAAATACCTGCACGTTTTGTATTGATTGCAATGGAAAGCATTTTTGTTCAATTTTGATCTTTTTTTAGGACACTGGTGACTACATTGTCTTTAAAAATGAACTATATTCAGTTGAAGATCCTGATGCAGTCATAACAAGGAAGGGGTTTGTGAGGATTCCCTTCTCATGCAGCTACCCTAAAGTAGCCCAGGTTATGGCCAGCTTTAAGACTTACAAGTCAGACTTTGTGTTTACAGAGTCTGCTTTCGGCAGTTTCAGCTACAGCTTTGATTTCTACACTGACAATACTTTCACAACAAAAAATGCAACCAGCACATACCCTTTGGAAGTACAACTGATGGACATGGTGTTTTTGGGCATCAATGCCTACTCCGACCTCCCACGGGTCCAGCTCTTTGTGGAGTCCTGCAAGGCCACTCCGGATGACAACTGCGACAACCCTTTGTATTATGACATCATCAAAAATGGGTGAGGGACTCTAGACGGCTGCTGTCCCCAACAACTACTGGAAACATCTGTGAATTAATTATACCAATAAGTCACCCCCTAATGATTTCTGTAATGTTTCTTTGATCAATAATTATTCTGTATTCTTTTTTTGTTAAAGGTGCATTGAAGATCAGACAGTTGTTGTTTACAAAAGTAATGACACCCAGTTCAACTTTGAAATCGAAGCTTTTAAGTTCAATGGAGACTATAATGAGGTAGCGAAGCAGTTTTTTTTTTTCCTTCAAATGATGAGGCAAGTAATGTATAAAAAAATGTCATATTTGACTCCATTACCACACTGCTTTGTCTCAGGTATACATCAGCTGTTTTGTGATCCTGTGTGAGACTGACAGTCCCAATTCAAGGTGCAGTCAAGGCTGTATGCAAAAACCTGTACTGCGTCGCCGGCGACAAGCATCGGTGGAAACAGAAAGGCACTACATTTCCCAGGGGCCATTGCGTTTTAAGCCAGCTTCACGAAGCTCAGGTAATACTTCTCTGTTTGTCTCTAAAAGTACAAGCCACTTTAATATGTACAGACGTTCCTCTACTTACAAACGGGATGCGTTCCGTTTGTCAAAGACTGACAACATGAGAGACGGGATGAGCAGCAACGCCTGCTGGCCAAACGGGGAAGGGACAGAGTGGGACAGCAGGGGCTGACCCTGACAGCAATCGCATCATGTGTCAAATTACCCACACTAACGCAACGCTGCTAAGCGCTGTAGGCTTACGGACTATGGTATAAGTAGCAGCATTCATTATTGCATTCATAGCCAACCCAAGTAGTAACGAGTATTGGGTAACGAACGAGTATTAAGTAATGAATACTGGACTGCCGAGTACTCAGTAGTAACGATTACTCAAAAGTAATGCATAACCACATCACTACATACTAGGCGGAATTGGCGCACAGAAAAAAATTGTTGCGGACAGGAAACGGAAGCCCAATGAACACAATTTGCACTTACATTCCTCTTCGTTCATATGTCTGAAAGTTCATAAGTTGAAAGTTTGTAAGTAGAGGAGCGTCTGTATTTTATTCTATCAAAGACAGCTTGGCCAAGTTGTGTTGCTACAGTTACAATAACTAATTTTATTCTCTTTATGACAGATCCTTCAGATCATGGCTCAAAGAGTGTTAGTATCACAACTAAATACACCATAGGTTTTGTGGGATTATTCCTTATCACCATACTAGTGCTGGCTGTAGTGATGGTCTGCAAAGCTAAGACAAGGAAACACAAAGCAATCAGCCAGAATGCTCTCCTATCCAACACTGGTTCGGAAGGATAAAATTTAATATCATTTGATATGTAAGTAACACTTTACTTAAGGGGGCACAAATAATGTAGTATTATCCTATTACTTATGTGCATATTATTTAACCACAAATTTAGCCTTAGTTACATATCGATCTCATGTTTGTTCATCATTAATGAGATGTGATATATCTCAAGCGATTATTATGTTACTATACTTAATTCTGTAAACCTTTGTGAGCTAATGAAGGAACTATTGAAGGAGCAAACAATGAATAACACGTGAAATACTGATCTCACATTCGTTAATCATTAATGAATCATGATGCATCTTTTATCTCAAGTACCAACTGTATTTGATCACAATTTGTACTTCAGTAGAAACTGAGCTACTGCTAAGTATTTATGCCCCGTCAAGTAAAGTAAGATGGACATTAATATTTAATAGAATATTGTCTGCTCATATAATTATTTAAATTGATCTATTTAGGCATATTGTTCTACTTAATGACAAGTGGAGTGGAATGAAAAATAATCAGTAAATAAACCATCTGCTTTGATTACAGAATTTTCTGTACACTTTGTCTTCTCATGTAAAAGTTATGCCATATCTAATATATAATATGATATTGTATTTATCTACTTTATAGTTTAGTACTGTTTAGTGGCTTTGTGTGTTTTGTTATCAAACAATACATTCTTCGGCATAAGCATGTTGATGTATGGTTCACTTCAAACTTGAAACAATATTTATTGATCCGTACATTGTTTATATATATATTTGTTATAAGTTATGTAAGATGCAATATACATTTGTATACTCAATAGAAAGTTATTACAGGAATGGAAAAAAAAACATTTGTATATTCAGAAAGAGTTATTTTGGTATAAAGGCACAAATAATGCAGGCATGCTTTCTGTATTAAGGCTTTAGAAAACATGAATGTCTGGATTATTAAAACAGAGGCTGTAATATGAAACCTTATGTAATCACAATACTCAAAACATGAAAGAAAGAAAGAAAATGAAAGAAAAAAAGAAAGAAAGAAAGAAACATGCTGAGCAGATCAGACCAGACCTGTTTTTCCATGGTCATAGACACTACCTCTTTCTCAGGGATCTCTAAATGTACCCAAGCGAGCTGAATTCCTCCAGCATGCCCTGGGTCTTCCCCTGGGCCACAACACATTGGGACATGTGAGCAATGGTTGTTTGGGAGCTTTCCAGGCAGAATCCTGAACCAGCTCAGCTGACTATTTTTAATTTGAAGCTGCAGGAACCTGTCTTATGAGCTCCTTTGGGACCGCCTAACTCCTCAAGCTGTTATTAATGAGTACTGCAACCCTGTGGAGAAACTTCAATTCACTTGTGACCCTGTTCTTTTGGTCATTACCCTCAGCTCATGACTATAAGTGAGGAGAAGGATGTATATTTACCAGTAAACAGAGAGTGTCATCTGATGACCTAACTCCCATGGACTATGGACATATTAAGTTTAGAAGAACAGTCTTGATTTTATTCTGCAAGAATTTTAGTACCATAATATCGCAACATGAACATGTGCAATTTACTTTCCGCAATTCTCTTACACTGCCAAACTAAACAATCTCAGTACTATACTAGCAAACTCTACTTCTTCCAAGCATAGCAGTAACTAAATACTTTGAATGTATGAACTTTGCACATTTCCCCCTATTTCCATAATTACTGCAAGAGCGTCCACTGTTCTTTTGTAAGTTTTAATTAATTAACAATAATGATTTTTTTTCTTCCTGAGAACTGACTGAACGATCACATTACTCTATTGCTCGTGTTTAGTATGAGACCTTGTAAGATGTGACCTTTCAAAATGACATTTAGGATGCTTTTACTATTGTTGAAATTCATGTTTGACAAAAAGACTGACGCAAGACTATTTGGATGTAACTACACATAGATCTATTCTAATATGTTCAAATTAGCTTTAGTCACCTATGGCACTGCATGACAGAGTTATACTCCTATGGAGTTTCCAGGAAACTGTGATCGTACAGGGAACTGATAATAAACTCAGAACTCAGAATTCTTCAAATTAAGCCTGTAGCTCTGAGATATCTATTTACCTCTCTATTTTCTAGGCAATTAGGTTGTTTAATACTTTGTGACTTGTGAATATAGCATATTTTTAGCATATTATAGCATATTTGCAGACTGCAAATTTAAACTGTGTGATAGAAATTAATTTATTAATTGCCATGCTCTTGTGTTATTTTATTTCTCTTTGTGTGACATATTTCCTTTTAAGCACAATCCTGGAAGCAGGTGGAAAGACATTTCACCACATGGGTGTACAGTAGGGGTGGCACAGTGGTTGGCGCTGTTGCATCATACTCCTGGGACCAGGGTTTGAGTCTCCGCCAGAGTTCCATGTGCATGGCGTTTGAATGTTCTCCCTGTGGGGTGTCCTCTTGGTACTCTGGTTTCCCCCCACAATCCAAAACATATTGAGGCGAATTGGAGTTACCAAATTGGTTGTGTGTGAGCCCTGTGATAGGTTGGTGCCCCATTCTATGTTGTTCCCTGCCCTGTCTGTACCCTTCCGGATAGGCTCTGAACCTTCCTATGACCATGAGTAGGATAAGTGGTTTCAGAAAATGGATGGATGGAGGTGAATTTGGGAGGCATGGTCAGGTGGCAGCTTCTATTGCTCTTTCTCGATTCTACTTCAAACTTCTCCCCATCTCCATTCTTCGCTTTCTCATGTGTTCTTTTTTTAATTAGATTAGATTAGATTAGATTCAACTTTATTGTCATTACACATGTACAAGTACAAGGCAACGAAATGCAGTTTAGGTCTAACCAGGAGTGCAATAAGCAGTGAGTGCAGGATAAGGTATAAGTTA